GAACGTCCTGGGTCAAATAGTTACTCCATACATCTACTAGTTCCGATTGTAACCCTGGAGTAAGAGCGGAGAATTTTGATTTAAACCAGGTTGGCCCTCGAAGTCTGTCACTAACTTTTCCATGATATACGGTAAAAGGGGCCAGACTTGACTCAAAATGAAATCGAGTTAACAAAAATTTCAGGTAAGTTCGATAACTAGCCTCATCGGAGGATTTTTTATGAGAATGTCGAGACGATAATCGAGCACCTTCTAAATTTAGACTTGGGGAAACTTTGGATGTTGGGGGAAGGATGCTTTCAAAGATCGAAGTGAGCCATAATTGAATGAACCAGATGGGACCTGAGAAATTTCCTGAGGGTCTTTGTGTATTCATAATATCGACAGCCTCATCGAAAGTGGTATAAACATGGGCCAGTAAAAGCTTCGCCAAACAAACTCTGGGTTGACCAGTGTGGAGGAGATAGGCAAGATTATAGAAATGAGATGAGATTTGGATGGATCGAGGGAAAATACATGGGTACAGAGCCAATATACCAGAAAAGTAACATGCTCCTCGTCAGAAACAACTACCGATTGATCATCAACAAAATTTTTTTCGATGAAGAGTCCATAAGCTTTCGAATCCCAATTGATTTTTGATTTTAGAGAGTCGTCTGAGGGGAAAGCACTCTTAAAATATTTTTCCCCTGTGGGCTTTAGTTCGGTGATTGCAACGACTTCAAAAAGAGTGGGAGAAAGGGGACCGCAGGGAAGCTCCATTGCGTGTAAATCTTTATTCCACAAATGGACCGCGGATAAAAACATAGACATATCCAAGAACGATAGATCGCATCGAGATAGATGTAGAAAATCGAAGATCCCTACATCTCTCCAGTGATTCCCAAACTTGGTCTTTACTCTATCAAACCATCTGATGTATAAAGGCTTTTTTGTGGGGAGGGCCCGTTTGATATACTTTTGAAACAACATTTAGAAAATCAATCTGAACCTCAGATTTATGAATAAGGGCTTTACTTTTTGAAGAAAGACAAATAGAAGAAGAAAACGATCCACCACAATAGCGGATGGGACCACCAAATGCATAATCTATTTTATCAACGGCGTAAGGGATAAGTAACTGAGTCTCGACAATTTTCTGCGAAGCTTCTTCCATCAAGGGAACTGGAGTAAACTTTTTACCATTTATCTCTATTAGAGTCGAAGTTACCGATGAAAGTGGTGGGATGGAGAAGTCGGAAGATTTGGAAGTCGCCATTACAGTTTGTGGAAAGGGTGAAGACGGAGAAAAGGTGTGACGAAGAAAGATGGGTTAGGTTCTTGGTAAAAAAAACAAGGGTAAAATTGATTGAAGTATTTAAAGAGGCCGACTAGGGTATTTGAAACGACGAATGTGAAGAGGGTAATTAATACGTAGCGTGTGCGTTGTGACAATGGAGGTGATGTGATTTGCTATTTGACATAAAGCAGCAGAAACCCTAAAAACCCTAAAAAACCCCAGAAACCCTAAACCCTAAAAAGTTATTTTGAGCTTCAAGGGCGGGAGTTATTTTTGAAAGAATATAAAATTGGTACAAATATTTATATTCTTCCAATAGGGCATTTTGTTAGTAAAAAATCGATACAAGGATCGAAAAATGGAAAAGAGAAAATCGAAGATCATATGATTAGTTAAAAAGTTGATAAATCGGAAAGATGGTTGGAAGACATTCGATGACCATGAGACAGTATGAACACATAAATCGAGAATGGAATCGAGAATCAGAAGATAGAGGAAATTCGATGAAAGTAAGAAATCGATAATAAAGTATGGAGTGTAAAGTTAGGGTTAAGGAAAATTATACTTGATAACTGGAATCGAGATCGAGGGAAACAGTTATCATACACATGGAACATGGGGAGTGGCTTTCCAAATCGTGGCTAAAGTTAGAAATCGAGGATCGGTTAAAGCACACATGGAACGTAGAAGCGGTCTTCTAAACCGTAGGCTAAGGTAAAAATCAAGGAACGTGCACATGGAACGTGGTGACAGTTTTCTTTAACTGCTCTTGGGAGGTTACATTGAAGGATGCCTATAAATAGAATGAAACTGGAAGAAGAAGGGGAAATTAGCAGAGACAACAGAAACACAAGTGAAAAGTCTACCGGAGAACGACGAATCATGAAGTTTCTGGCGATCTGGATTTCCATTCTCATTGACTATTTTTACCATTTTCTTTACTTTTCCTGGTAACTTATTTTCAGGCAATTTACGTTCATCAATTTAAGTTTCCATACTTTCAATAACTTGCCAGTTATCTTTAATGCAATTTAAGATTCTGTATTTTCAAATGCTTGTCATTTACCGTTTCTGCAATTTCGACGTCCTGTCATTTACTTTCATGCAATTTTAATTCTGTCATTTATAGTTAATGCAATTTTGAGTTTTTCGTATTTACAATTCCCTGTATTCTAATATTTCGCACTGATTTTGTTTGTTTTTGATACCTTTTACTGCTTTCCTTACTTCGTGTTTCTTAATAAAATACCAAAAAGAGTACTTTCGATTTTTAATTTGTATGATCAGTTGCATCGATAACATTCCTCGATCTTGTGACATTTTCGATTCTCATACATGTTTTGATTGAAAATTGTCGCTAACCTAAGTGAAAAGAATCTACGTGGTTGAAATTTGATTAGAACCTAAGAAATCGAAATCGATCAAATTTTCACCAGAAACACCATGATAAGGAATTCTTTCACACATTAAAACTAAAAAGGGAAAATGTTAGTTTATCCTTCCTTTATTAGCTTGTAATGTGCAAGCATGAGGTGAACCACGTGTTTAACAATCAATAAATGTTATTGAAGGATGTGAGGTTTATTTCAAAAATGAAAAGAAATTATTTACATCTAATTAAGTTTGATCTTCTAAGTATGTCAACCAGAATTAAGCATGATTTCAAATGGAGTTTTTATTGTTTCAAAGGGGGTCAAAAGAAATAGTTTTTATATTCATGATTGAATAATTATCACAAATGCGTCTTTAACTAATGATATAGGATAAGGTGAAATTATGACCACTGAGATTAGGACATGTAAGTGAAAGAGGTTCGATGGAGTTGGAGAAACATCAGCTAGTGGGAGATAATAATAGTTAAGAGAAGTGGAGTTCTATTAGCAATTTGAAAGTATTAAAGATTAAGAATATAAATATATATATATATATATATATATATATATATATATATATATATATTAAAATATGTATGTACTAATATAATTTTATGAAATTAAAATATAATAATTAAATATTAAAAATTACAATATTATAAAAAAATATATAAATTATAAATTGAGGACTGGTGTACAAAATAAGATAATAGGATATTAATATAAGTTATAAGTCATGAGGCTAATTCGGTTATCCGTGAATTTTAGACAGATTCAGTTGAACAATTTTAAACTTTTTTAATTATTAATTAAAATGATTTTGATTCAGTCAATCCATAAATGAAATAATTCAAATAGTATTGATGAAAAATTAACTTGTGTTTAATTTTTAATAATTTCATTTATTTTATTTTACTAACGTATAACTTTAAATTCATTAAAAATATTTTAATATGTTAAACTGTTTAATCCACGTATTTTAATGATTTAAAAAATAAAATACATAATTAAATGAATTATGAATGATGGTAAAAATTTTAACTTATAAAAAGTGAACCAATGGAACAAACCCATTTTTAACTCTATGAAAGACAAACCCATCAATTTAACACTCTCACTCACTTAATTATAAAGGAAATTTAAAGCAAAGACGTTATTTCCTTCTTACATAGCCTATAAATTTTCAAATTTGACATTTAAGTTTTCTTTATCTTAAGTAACTTTTTTTTTCAAAATAAATATATTTATATAACTTTATTTTTATAATATTGTGTTAAAATATGTTTAACCCAATAAATAAGTTATATTAAAAAAAAAGTTGGTAACTTAAATTAAATTAAACTCATTCTGAATCAATCCGACCTAAACTTAAAGACTTACTCATTTTATAAAATAATAAGTATTTTTAAAATAAAAATAAAAGTAATATTATTTTATTAAAAATTATATATATATATATATATTATAAATTAATTTAATAAAATTGAGATTCAATTATTTTAAAAATAAATATTAGAGCATCTATCTAATAACTATTTATTATAAGAACTAATACTTAAAATTAATTATTATTTTAATTAATAAATTACTAAAAAATAAAGATAAATTTAATGTCTATTTTAAGGTTGAATGAATTATTTTATAATTTATATAATAAATTATCAAATAAAAATTAATTATTATAATTAAATTTTAAAAATATATTATTTATTTATTTAATTTTTAATCAGGTTAAATTTAATTTATTAAAATATTGACTTACACTCAAATTATTTTTATTTAATCCATCAAGTTGAATCAAATTATCCATTTTTACAATTATAATTATTGGTTTCCGATCGCCACAATAATCCCATGATATAATTAAGATTTTTCTTTTTTTCATCGGTGGAGTGTGGTGTGATCTTTTCATTTTTCCAGAGAGTAAAAGTGTTGAGACTTGTTGACTTCCACATAAGCACGAGTGAGTCCTCCTTGTGTTTTCAGCACAAGTTAAACAAAACACAAATGTTTTTCACTACCTCCAAAACCAGACAACCTCGATTCCCCTCTTCTCTCCACTCTCCCAAATTTATTATAAAAATTTAAAAATCCCAAAAGAATCACGTCTATATATTATTATATTATCATTTATCTTGATAAAAAAAATAATCCAAATCCAAAATGGTAAATAATATTTCTTCATTGAACAAATCAATTTTATCACGGCCCCGAAATTTGTTTCCGTTGCTTATATAAAGCCCCCTCTATATGCAGCTCATAGCAACAAGTCACAATTCACAATTCACAATCACATAAACTAGCAGAGTGTGTGGCTTTTGCTTTCTGTGTGCAACTAAAGCACAAGAATGATGGCATGCCAAGATTGGCCCGAGCCAGTGATTCGAGTTCAAGCTTTGGCGGAAAGTGGTCTAACCACAATCCCCGAACGTTTCATAAAGCCAAAGTCCCAAAGGGTCACCGATTACGCCACTCATTCTTCTTCAACCCAACCCAAATTCTCTGACACTGACATCAACATCCCCGTGATTGACATGAAACACCTCTACGGCGGAGAGGAGGGGCAGCGCGCGGAAGCACTCCACCGTGTGGCAGAGGCTTGCCGAGAATGGGGGTTTTTCCAGGTGGTGAACCATGGTGTGAACCATGAGTTGATGAAGGGTGCTAGAGAGGTGTGGCGTGAGTTTTTTCACCAGCCAATTGAGGTGAAAGAAAAGTTTGCTAATACACCCCTCACTTATGAAGGTTATGGAAGTAGGTTGGGAGTGAAAAAAGGAGCCATTTTGGATTGGAGTGACTACTTCTTTCTCCATTACATGCCTTGTTCCCTTAGGGACCAAACCAAGTGGCCAAACCTCCCAACATCCTTAAGGTATGTCCCCTAATTACTAATTAAAAATAAAAAATAACAAACCCCTTTTTTCTTCTTTGCCCGTTATCCTTTTTACCCTATGTATAATTTTTTTACACCACAAAAATTATGAGACTAATCATATTTAGTTTTTTAAATTGGACTTACAACACACATTTAAGATAAAATATAACTTTAATAACCCTTAGGGTCAACCTAATATTGTATGGTTGAATAGTTTTTAGGGAGTTTTAATTCAAACCACACATTTAAAAAAAAAACGAACTTTTTTAATGTAAGTTGCAAAACACGTCACAAATCATAACCTTTTTTCTTCTTCTTTCAATTTAATGCAAAATTGGGTGCAAGGAACATGGGGCTAATCAGGCTCTACCACTTTTTATCCAACAAAAAGAAAATCAGGTTCCTTCTAGTTTTGTCTCATTTGGTATGTAGTGAGTGGGTGAGTATTCACTTAATTAAAGGGGGTGGGTGCCTAAAGTGCCACTTTTCCTCATTAGATTAAGGTTTTGTAAGCTTCATCCATCCACATGAAATAAATGCTTGGCTTGGACTTGTCAAGTAGAAGTGTCTTTCACAAAGTCGTGTTGGACAAGAAGAGGATACATACATTATTTATATCATTTTTTTAATTAAGATTTATAAACATATTAATTTATCAACATATAAAAGGTTTTTATATTTAAAATTAATATAAAATATATTATATTTATTTTATATTCATGAATCTCAATTTATTTAAAAGTCGAACGATAATTTATAAATACATTTTTCGAATAATGTCTTTTAAAAAAATTAAAACACACGAAAGTTCCCCATCATATATTATTTTTAAATGAAACATCTTTAATTTAAAATTTTAAAATATTTATTTTTAAATTATTTAATTTTTTTATTTCTAACGCATGAAATTTTAATTTATATTTAAATTTTTAACCTAGTTTTTGGTGGGGGTTCGTTTGCGGCATTGAGTGACCAACTCTTGTTTAACACCACTAAAGTACATCGTACAACCATATGTAAAACGTGGTATTTAGTTCAGTGACAAAGCTATTTAGTCAACATAATATTAAAAAAAAAATTAGAATAATAAAAGGTAAAGGGAATTCTGAATAATAATCTGTGTGGGAATAAAATATTCAATAAATGAATGACGGAACATTCACACTTTCCTTTATTTTGTCCTTTTACATCCACTTGTATGCAATCTTTTTCTGTTTTTAGTTTTTTTATGTTTTTAATGTGACTTTGTAGCCTAAAAACTACCATTAAAACATTGCTTCACAAGTATTTTCACTTAAAAAAAATTGTTGTTAGGCTGTTTTTGAATTTGTCATGACAAATTAAAATATGTAGAAATTTTCTTTTCAGGAGTTTTTTTATTTAATTTCTATTAATAAAAATATTATTTTATTTCTAAAAACAAATTTCTTAAAAATACTTTTATATGAGATGAAAAAAAAAATACGTCCTTTCTCTTTTAAACAAATAAAGTGTATAATTTTCATTTATTGATGTTAAATAAAAAAATATGCAGTTAGAAAAAAAAAATCATCTTTTGATAAGTTATGATTCGTGTCAAATAAATTTGTCTCTCTTTCAATTCTAATGTCACTTTCTATCTATTATTCAACCCGGATCTTTCTAATTCAATTATTATTTCATACACAAACTTCTTGATAATGGAGATTATTTTAAGCAAATTTTTTGACATGGTTCCCTATGAGGTTCGTCACATGATTGACCTCTTAAATCGATCACATGATGAAATGGATTATTTGAACACTATAAAATATATATCTTCATTATAATATTTTTAATTTTTAAAAAAATATAATAATAATTATTAATAAAATTGATTACTTATTGTCAAATAATATTTTTATTGACATAAAAAAAGAAGAAGAAGAATTAAGAAACAACTTGTTGGAAACTGGTGTCAAGGATTTCTTTCCTATTCTAGTAAATTCCCATTTCAGTGCTTGGAGCTAAGTGTGAATTAAATGAAGACTTTACAAAAATTCATATTACAGTCTTCATTTTAATGAATGACATGCATGACAACCTTTAATTTCATTGTACAATTTATTTGAATTTCCTTAATTAAGTGTTTTTCTTTTCTTGATTAGGAATGAGATAGATGAATATGGTGAGGAAGTTGTTAAGCTAGGAGGAAGGGTTCTTGAGATACTGTCAGTAAATCTTGGACTGAGACAGGATTTTCTGCTAAATGCATTTGGCGGGGAAAAGGATCTTGGTGCTTGTTTAAGGGTCAATTTCTATCCAAAGTGCCCACAACCTGACCTCACTATGGGGTTGTCCTCTCACTCAGACCCTGGTGGCATGACCATTCTTCTCCCTGATGAAAATGTGTCTGGTCTGCAAGTTCGCAGAGGAGATGATTGGATCACTGTTAAGCCTATGCCAAATGCTTTCATCATCAACATTGGTGACCAAATTCAGGTCTCTATCTACAGCAACATTGGACCATTTTTATGTGATTACTACTTTCAGTGGTTGTTTGCAGTTAATGAATTTGTACATACCTTGTTCATGTTTAGGTGCTGAGCAATGCAATTTACAAGAGTATAGAGCACAGGGTGATAGTGAACTCAGACAAAGATAGAGTTTCATTGGCCTTCTTTTATAACCCCAGGAGCGATATACCCATTCAACCTGCCAAGGAGCTTGTGACGGAGGATAGGCCAGCACTGTACCCTCCGAAGACATTTGATGAATATAGACTTTACATTAGGACAAGAGGACCCAATGGAAAAGCTCAAGTTGAATCTTTGATTTCTAAATGTGATTCTAATTGAGTAGCTTCAACTACACACATTTCATTTGCATATCAATAATTTATCATCAATTGTGTTTCTATTTATCATAACTCAATTAATCAATATGCCACTCGTTTTTATGTCATACATTATTTCATTTTTCTCATTCCAAATATATGTTTGAGTTTGAAAAAAAATTAAATAAATTGTATTTTAAATCGAATATGATATTTTTAGCTCGGTTAATGTAATCCATAATTTATATAAACTTCGATTAAACTAATTGGTAAGAATCAATGATCAATTTTCTTATATAAAATTATATTTATTTTATTAAAATATATATGTAGTTATGGTCATTTATATATATCAAATAATTATATATAAAATCTAAATTAATTTAATAATATAATTTAAATGCTAAAAGTACATTTTTTTATTTAATTTTTTAACTTTGGTTAATATAAACCGAGTTAAACCTAAAAGCACGTGCTATCGCAGAATATGGAGGTTACTCGTTGGGTTTGTCAGATTGAACTGATTTAACCTATTATTAAAATCTCTAATAAATTTATCTTTGCATTAGAATAATAATAAAAAAAGTTAATCTTTTAAGATATCAAAATTTATTTCAAAAGATTATTTTTTAAAACATTTTTTATATACATAAATAAGAAATGAAACTACTGCACACCTTAAAAAAAATTATCTATAAATTATCTCCCTCAATTTTTAAGACGAGATATGAGAAAAATCTCTCTAATAATAAAAAAAATCCTTTTAGACTAAAATTAAGATGAGTTAAAAGTTTCATATGATTCTTATCATATAATATAATTTAAATATTTATTAGGCTATTTTTCATATTATCAATTAATTTTACATTACAACGGTATAACTTCTTTTTTATCGTTATTTTTTACTAGAGTTGTATTGTTATATATATACTTTTACAGAGGTTGTTAAAGGAAAACAATTTTTTCTTAAAATAAAAAATATAATAAAATTGATTAAAAATATAATAATGTTATATTATATAACCTCATTTTATAGAATAAATTTATAAATTTAACCTAGTTGCGTTTACATGTGGAAAGAATGAGTAGGTTTTTCCAATATTGGAGTTAGTGCTTGACCAGTTTGCACCATTAATGTCTCTTTGGTTGCCATTCCAATAATGGTTGGGTTTGTATCCCCTTCTCATACTCAACCCAACACAATGAATGGTTTCCAAAGTAAAAATACCAAACAAAGTGGCTGAACTGGAATTTTACAAAGAAACTATGGTCCTATCTCACCCACTATCGTTTGTCTTGTGGGGAACAAAAACGTGTATGAAGACTCCACAGTGAAATTTCACCCACCATAGCTTCATAAATTAACACGTTTTTTTAATGCACCCTTCAAACATCACATTAATTCATTTTTTATTAATGTGTCAACTAATTAAGCAATTTCAATTCAATCACGTCACCATCTTGTATGAGTGGATGACACCCCCACCAATCACCATGCACTCTCCTCCTTTTCAATTATCGTCATTTTTACCTTTTAATCTAAATAATTAACCGTGTTTGCTTTCACGTTTAAAGTTCTAAATCTAATGTAGGAATTTCAAGTTTTTTCAAGATTAAATATGCATATTTTTTTATTAGATATTTGATATTAAATTCATTAAAATAATATACTTAAAATCAATTATTATACTTGAGATATTATGTTTTAAAAAGAATTTTAATATTTTGATGTTAAACTTATTAAAATAACATTGATAAAATCAATTATAATGAAATTTTATTTGGCTAGTTGATGTCTCAGTTTGTGATTTTAAAAGAAAAATCGTAAAAACAGAAACTGGACTCTAACCAGATTTCGATGATAACATTCGAAGCACTTGAACACATTAGGACTAACTTGAGTAATTTAGAAGTTCAGCTCATTAAAAATATGCTATTTAAGCTATTATAAGAAAATAACTATTAGAATCGGCCTAATTACGTAAAATTGGATAATTTAAATAGAGTAGGTTTCCTACCAAATTTTGAAATTAAATATGTGATATATACGAGGAGATTTTTCATACAAATTTTATTAAATATATATAAATTTAGTAATAAATTATCAATTATTTACTTCTATAGAGAAATTTTTATATCATCGAAATATTAAATAATATTAAAATAATTATAATTTAAATTATTTATTTTTTATATCGACTTAAATACTTTTTATAAAAATTTTATAATAATAAATAAGTTTAAATAAGTCGATTTAGATGATATTTTAAATAACATATTAGATTGATGGTTGTTGAATGTTAAAAGAAAATTCATCTCAAATGATAGTTAGTAAAAAAATAATAATATTAATAAAAATATATCAATCAGAATAAAATGATTTATAAATAATAAAGTGGTTGTAATTATAAATATTTTATTAAAGTATTTTAAATGGGAAATTATATTTATTTAATATTAATTATAATCGAATAATTAAATAATTAATTATATATTATTATTATTATTATTATTATTATTATTATTATTATTATTATTATTATTATTATTATTATTATTATTATTATTATTATTATTATTATTATTACAGTTGATATGGACCCTCAACCCTAAAAATATTAACGTGTTTTTTAAGTGAAGTTCTCCTCTTTTGTTTTTTCAATATTTAAGAATTCGACGTAGTAGATTTTATTGCGACAATCATCGAGATCTACATGATGATTTCGAAAAGAAGAATATCTAATATTAATAGTTTGGTAAAGTAAAAAAATAAATAATAAAAATCACATGTTGAAGAAACTTATTAAGTCCTCACTCATCATTTGAGGAAAAGATAAATATAAGTCTCAATTCATCTTTGTGTTTCTTCTTCCCGAAATTCGCGATCGATTATTATTAATCATGCTTTTCACCTTCTATAAGAGAATTCTCCACAACAATCTTATAAGACTCTTAGTTTCCATGCATGATCATTCTACTACAAGAAATGTCGGATTTAGTAGGTCCAGAGATTGACATTACCATGAGACTAAAGTTATTAACCAATATTAACGTTGACTTAATCTAAATAATATCACTATTACTTTTTTTTCTCTTTTCACCTTTTCACTTTTTTTTTGTACCACACTGAATCAAATCAAAGCATTAATTAGTATTCAACATGCTAACACCGAGGGCAAAGGAAAAATAAATACAAAATTGAATGCTGATATATGACTTCTACGTTTGAAAATTATGCATGTCATTTATTTTTTTCTTCCTCGTTTTCCCAATCGCATTTCGCATTCTTACTCTGGTGCTGTTTGACTTTGTTCTTCAATTTCTGCCTCTAAATCCTTGGCTTTAACTCTTTATGTATTTGTGTTTTGTTGTTGTACATGTCATAGAGGCAGCACGTGTCACATCAGCACAGCCACCACGAGTGAGTTAGGCCGTCATCGATCGTCCCCCGTACAAAAGAGAATCACGTAACACATCAGGGAAGCGACGACCGCGAGGGCATTGCTAAACTGTTAACATTATTGTGTTTGTGTAGGACAAAAAAAAATGTCAACTTAGTAATTGTTGGTGTTAAAATGCAAGAACCCTAAGTGAAGGGAAAAATTGTATGTATACCAGAAATATTTATGAGTCTAGACTTAATTATGTGTTTCGATAAAAAAATAATGTAAAATTTATTTAAATATTAACCATTCTTTAATCATTTAAAAATATAAGTCGGTTGATAATATTTTTCCGGTGATATCGGTTGAAGTTATTTTTCAACCAAAGTCCTAGCTAGCAAGATTTTTTATTTAATATCAGTGAGATATTTTTTTATATTAACATTGATTGTGGTTATTTTTAGTTGATGTGGATCTGTTAGTGGGAAATCGTTAGAAGGATCGAAAAATGAAGGAAAGAAAAATCGAGGATCATATGATTGGTTAAAAACTGACAATTGGTAAAAAGACATCTGGTGACCACAAATATACAAACACATCGAAAATCAAAATCGAGAATCGAAGAAACATATTTTGATGTCTATTGTTGAAGAGAATCGAGAGATTAGAATAATGCAAAGTTAAGAATTAAAGGGAATCAAAAGCAAAATTTAGAATACTCGATGTCTGAAATCGAGATCGAGGGAGCAGTTAACACACATGGGCATGGGAAACGGTTTCTAAACCGCGACAGTGATCGAAGGTTAAGGGAGTAGTTCTATTATACGTGATAACGTGGAGTGCAGTTTTGTTAACCGCTCTTAGGAGGTTATCTAAAGAGCACCCTATAAATAGAATGAAGAATGAAGAAAGAGAGGAAATTGACAGAGACAACAGAAGCGTTAGTGAAAAGTCTACCGGAGAACGACGAAATCATGAAGTTTCTGGCGATCTGGATTTCCATTTTCATTGACTGCCTTTATCGCTTTCTTTATTTTCGCTGGTAATTTATGTTCATGTAATTTTCCTTTGGTGCAATTTAAGTTTCTGTATTTTCTATTTCTTGTCATTTAACGTTTATGCAATTTCGATTTCTTGTCATTTAACGTTTATGCAATTGCGATTTCTTGCTATTTACAGTTAATGCAATTTGAGGTTTCCGCACTTTACAATTTTTGCAATTTAACATTCTGCATTGTTTCTTTCGATTCGATACACTTTTACTGCTTTCTTTACTTCGCGTTACTTAATAAAAAACACTAAAAATAGTACTTTTGATCATCGATCTGCACTCTAGGTCATGTGGTTTATATCTTTTCGAGGTTTTAGGTTTCTCGATTCTCATGCACTTTTGATTGAAAATTAGTTGCTAGCCTAAGTAAAAAGAATCTACGTGGTCGAGATTTGATTAGGACTCAACTCCCCATAAATCGAAATCAATCAAATTTTCACCAGAAACAAATTGGCGCGTCAGGTAGGGGATAGCGTGTGTCGAAAAACACAAAATTGGTTAGTTCGAAAGTGTATGAGATTAAGGAGTGGGCGAGTGATAAGAATGAGTCATCCACCAAATAATCCGAGTAACAGTGAGGTTCCGAAT